TTTTTTTTTTTTTTTTTTTTCTGAGAATTGTGAGATTCAGACTAAAGTATCAGGGATTATGGTAAATGATGAGTTAGAATGGACAATTGGAACAGCAGTTACTCCCACAAGAAAATGGGATGTGGATGATAGGTGAAGGACAATATTAAAAGTCTTACCTCCCCATTCAAGAAGCAGTAGAGAACAGCAACAACAAAACCCTAGGGAAATGGGAGAGAAAAATAAAAAAACGAATTCAAATCCTGAAGGAATGACAAAAATAGCTGGAATTAAAAACAAAAAACAAGCAAACAAACAAACAAACCCAAAATCCTGGTATACAAGACATACACATAAATGAGCAGAGATACACACTCTGAGAGCTGTACATGCAAAGTAGTCATAATGAATAGAAATTCTGCTCTGAGGAAAGCTGAATTCAGTGTACAATCACCTGGAAGGATCCCAGTCCCAACTCAAACACCAGTCTCTCCCTCTTACTGACATTCTCAGGAGAAAAGGCAAACACCGTGTAGTGAATTCCAAACAAGGGGATCAGCAGCAGGGTGGAGCGAGCCAGTCTCCTGTCACAACAGAGGGAAAGAACTTTAATGCAGCCTTGCAATTAGCAACCTGCACTTTAATTAAAGAAGAAAGCACAGAAAATATTTTGCTTGACAGACTTTTGGGAAATACATACACCGCATAATTATACAAACAAATATGCAACGTCCCTGTTTGTTCCCAAGACTGTTTGCACACACACTGCAGTTTGCTCCCCCTTCTTCACACTGCTACAGCAATGGCACATTAATTATGCTTAATGCTCTCTGCTGCTATTTTAATTGGCACTATTATAACCAGGAATTTTCTCCTACCATGCCAAAAAATGAGGGGAATCTTGCTAAGGGATTCAGAGTGCTACCATGGTACAATTATAAACCTCTCACCCCACTGCTTAATCCCAGTGGAGTGTTTGAAATCAATTATTTTTGTTCATTTTTTGTGTGTGTGAGCGAATATGTTTCTGCACAGCAAAAAACATTCCAAAACAACCACAAAAATAAAGCTAAAAAACCAACAGCCATACAAATAAAAGTTAACCCCCCTGCATGTTCTTGTACTCCAAACTATTCCTGAAGGTTTGGCTTTGGTCTTGATTTATACTGTTGGAAACCTAAGTGCAATTCCACTGTTTAACTACTTCACTGTTTTAGAATAAAGAATAAAAGATGTTTCAGAGGGGAATTAAGCTCAGCAGATATAAACAAAAAGGGCTGGAAATTAATATATTGCATGTGAGCACTTAACTGGTGAACTACCCCCAAATCAGGGCCCAGCCAAGATTTGTGCATGTTTTGGTGAGTGTCTCTGTCTGATTAAGCAGTAAAAAACAGAGCAAAGAGAAAGCAAATGTTGTTCTGAAAATAAGACAAGTGCTTTATTATGAACAAAGTGACCTAAAAAACCTCCAGGACATTTTCAGAGGGGAAGAATATTATTGATTCTTATATTTACATTCAGGTAAGTGAAGAAGGCAGATGGAGGACAAAGGAAGATAAAAAGCCATAGAGCTTTTTCAAAGAGCTGCATATTTGTTGAAATTCAAACGTCCCCTCTGCTTTTATCTATTTGGTACATTGCAGACAGATTTGAATTTGATAATAAATGCTCAGTGGTATGAGCAACAAAATGATGTTTGTTTTAGCAGCACTGAAGGTTTAATTCACACACTTTCAATAATTTTGTGAGCACAATTATCTCCAGCAGTGGGACATTCATGTCCAGAATGGGACATTCCCAGCTCAGTCAGACTTTGGGCCCCAGTGGGGATAAATTCATCCCAACTTTTGCCTGGACACTTCACTAAACACATCTGAGCCATAAATCTGATGGACACCAAACCTCAGGTCTTGGTGGAAGATCCCACAAACCAGAGAACATTGTTCCTGTGGGTAATAAAATTAGACACTGGCCAAAACGTTTTGAAAAGAGAGGAACAACCTCAGAACAGGGTGATGAAGAGCATTCAGAGTGTCCAGCTTTGATGATCTCTAAAATAAGTAATCTATACCGGAGGGAGCCAGTGTAAAAGACTTTTGGAGTCTTTTCTAGTCCTTTTTCTCTATGGACATGCAAGCAGGTTAATAAAAAGGAACAGAAACATTGAGAAAGAGATTATAGAATAGTGTTATCTCTGTTAAAAAGGGATGTAAAGAATATAGGTGTCTGAAACTAGTCATGGAATTTTTTAAAAAATTAAATTAAATGTAATAAACTGGGCAAAAAATATAATCTCTCCATATCTTTTATCATTTATATTCAGACTTAATGACAACAACAACAGGATAAATGTTGTTTTGATCTAAAAGTCAGAATAGAATTATCTATTAATATGTTCTGTCTCACTGCACTCTTGGGAGATTAATTTAGGGGAAGATGCAGAGGAAACCTTTTTTTATTGTCAGTTTTCTGGCATTAATCATACCTGATTAATCACACAATTAGATTGCAGGATCTGGAAATATAATGCCATCATCAATTTATTTTAGGTGTTGTCTTCAATATTGTCATAAAAGTGAGGAAGAAAATGCATTAAATAACACATTCTGAAGTTCATGGATTATTAAAATCAGTAAAGAAGAAAAGAAGATTTCAATTATAAGAAAAAACTTGAGAGACATTAATGCCTATATGGATGATGATAAATTGCTTTTTTTTTCAGAAGTATTGGGGAGAAGACTTCAAGCAGGTCCTGTGAGACCTGTAAGTTTGTGTGCCTACAGGGAATGAAAATCTTAAAGGACACTGTGGAATTCTCAGGTGTGTAACAGCCAAAAATATGAATCCTCTTTTCTTCCCCCACTCTTTCAGACAGGCAAGAAACTTGGGGAGTGGATCTAGAGGTTCTGAGGACAATAATTGTTCAAGTGGCTGTTTGGAAGATAATAAAGGTCTAGCAAAATCCTTGTTCACATTCCCACAGGGAGAGGAAAGTCTTAAGATTGCTTAAAAAAATATATATATATAATTTTTTGTGGAGGCTGACATTCTGTTTTCCAGCTGTTATTTTCCTTAAAATCACTTCAAACATGAGACTTTCTCCAGTATCATGGCTATGAATGTGGACTTTCCATTAAATGTAAATACAAACAAATAATGGTGTCCTGTGTTCTCCCTTACTCCTCTACTGAATCATGAAATGAGAACTTTATGCTAAAAGAAACACAAGAAACACTAAGTAGGAAGGTTGTCTAATTTGATCAGTATTTGAAGGATTCCTGCTTTTGTTTTTCCATTGCATATCCACATTTATTAAGGAGACTGCTAAGGTCTCAACCACTCAATCTTTTTGAGAAAAAAAAAATCAAAAAAGAAGCAAAAATCTCCAAACCATAGACCTTGAAGGAAGATGATATCATTGTTTTTCCATTTAGTTCTGCCCCTCTAAAGTAAGAGAATTGCCCAGTTTAAAAGCTGTCCTAAGTGAAATGTTTTGCTCAAATATGAACTTTTGCAATGAAGACATCAAGATCTGTAGTCCTGAAAAGCAACATTCATTCATCTCACCGAGGTTTGGACATACACAGCATAGATATTGATAATGAAATTATTTTAAAAGTGTCTCTAAAGTCAGAGAAAAATACACTTTTAATATCGTTCTTGTGTGCTACAGATGTCTTTTTAATAAAAGGTGACTCTTGTTGTAAACCCCATGGGTACTGAGTACATCTATTTATGTATATATTGATTAACTTAATGCTGTGACATATCTGCAATGATGACATCTATTTTTAGTTAAATTAAATGCATGCTTAAATTCCCTTTATTGTCTATGAGGAACAAGAATCACTGACACACAAGGACAAATCCTCTGCCCCTAAGGAAATTCTTATCACGTCCTAAATCTATCCATTAACCTCAAAGGGAACCTGGACTTAGTTTGTCACACGAATTTCTGCCCTGTAGATTTGTGAGGTTTAGATTAGAGGAACCCAATTTCTCTGGCCAAAGGTACATATTCATCATCTCTGTGATAAATCTGTGCAAAAAAAGAATTGTAACAATATTTCACACTGAAGAATAAAGAGCAAAGCAGGAAGGCACAGGATGTCATCAGTAACGAAATGCTCAACACAGTTCACATTTAATAAACTGAAGCATCTATTTTATCACAAAATGCTGAACATATTAAAGTGACTTTCAGGAACCTCAATAATCTCCCTGACAGATCTTTTCCAGTCTTTCCCAAAGATTTAATTAGGTCTGTAGCATCACTTCCAAAACACCTGAAGTAACACCTGAATGATTCCAGGTTTTTGATTTTCCAGTGCATAAACCACATCTTCACACCAAGGACTTGAAAAACAGGGAAGCTGCCCAAGACTTTCATAACTCAACAGACACAAAACCAAAGGTTTAAGAACCTCCTGTTTAGGCTGAACTCTTCTTGCCCTTGGCTAGGTAAGAGGATTTCACCTCAGAGCATTATCAGCCTCCTATCTTTCAGAAACACTGCATTTTATGTAAAATTTGGTTCACTGCAAAGGCCCACCACGGCATCTGTGCTGCATCAGGATGTCCATTAGGCAGTGAACTTTATATTTCAAACTATCTCCTCCTGACTCCCAGTTTTACCTAACCATTTTTAGTTTTCATCTGCTTTCTGTGTAGAAGATGGAGCTGCTCCTTTTTGTCTTCTCTATTTCTATCTGCTTTTGCATGGTTCCAGTCTGTTGACTGAATATTTTTCAACATCTTCATTGTTTTATTTCTTAAATACCTCAAAGATATATGAAACCACACAGAAAATTCACTTTAATTTTTTTTCTAACTAAAAACATAACCATATGTGCAGTTTAGTTACAAACCAGTCTTTTTTCCTTAAAGGTGTTGAAGATAACTACTGAATATTTTTTAGCAAAAACCTGGAGTTTTAGGTCTCTGTGTCAGGGCACCTCAGAGAATGTTGATTCCCACTTATAAAACGGCAGAGAAATTCAGATCATCACAAAACATGTAATAGGTGTTTGAAATTGCACCTCATCTAAACAAAATGAGAGGATGACCTTGGAGCTATTATCCAACCTTAATGATTTCATGAACCTGTGAAAACCTGTGGGCTTCTCGTGCAAGGAGCAAGGAGTCAGCTGGACAATGGGATAGTGATTCATTCACACAGCTCTTGGCTGACTGGCTTTTATTCCCTCTTCTGGATGCTTCACTCTATATTTGACAATATTTGACAATGTTGGACTGAACTTGATGATCTTGGAGGTCTTTTCCAACTCAGTGATTCTGTAACTTCTGATGGATACAATTCATTTTGGTATTAGGTCAACGTTTTCACCCCTGGGTGTTTACTGAGTTAACTTCACTCAGTTCAATGGATAAAAGATGTTTTATACCCATGAGGGTCTGATTGACTCCATCTCACCCAGTTTTTCTAGGAAGCTTTCAGGTGAAACATTTTCTCTCAGTATGAAGGTGCTCACCTCTTTGCTGTACAATTAAGAGCAGCTATTAATTCTGTACAGACACTACCCAAAACCATAAATAGCATCAGCCATAATTTAAAAAAAAAAAAAAAAAAAGAGAGAGAGAGAAAGAATTTAAAACAACTTTAAAATCCTCGATCGTGGCGCATCAGCAAAAGCACAGAACAAGAACCAAAAAAATTCTCCATGCAACAAGAACTAAATGAATGCTTTGCTCTCTGCTTACTTCCCCTCTGCTCTCATCCATTCATTTAATTGCAACATGCGTCATACACACACAGTAATGTCACAGGAGTGCGTACACTTACAGGGTAATGGTTGATAGTTCTGACATCTTGCAAGAGTGCTGGTTAGCCCTCTTAGGCTTACAGTAGCATTTCTGAACGCAGCTGCTAAATATGACAAGATTAGCATTTTTTTCAGCATATCGTGAACAGGCCAAGGTAGGTCACTTTCAACACATTTCATGAGACACGTCACAAAGATGGAAAGCGGACACG